ACAGAAAAATCAGAGGTAAATTAAAAACAGTAGGTGCTTATTTCTTTATTTCAGCAAGAGTAACAAGGTAGCATATTTGTAAGGAAATTCTGCTATTCTTTAGGAAAACATATTTGGCTATCCATACCCATTAGCATTAGTGCAACTGGGTGCTCAGTGGATTTACCTCATATGAATGGAAGAGCTACATTATTCTTTTCTGTCCCTTCTCATGAGAAAGCATCATCTATTTTGGTCTATGTATGAAACTCAAACTATAGGCTGGTAATAGTGGGGTTTGTATTTTAGAAGTTAATGGGATTGTGTGGTTTGAAAAAGCTAGGCACCTGGCTATCTTTTGGGGTTGTTTTTTTTTTGTAGTTAGGATAAACTTTTACAAACCAATTCTTATTTCAAATGTTCAACTGGAAGCAGCTTACAGTACATGAATTCCAAAGTGTGATGCCATGCTGTGGGGTGGGAGCATCACCTATTTAACAGAGCTGCTCTGGAGATTTCACTTTACACAAGAAACTCATGTGCTAGGAAATTGTTCTTTTCTTAAAAAACAGGCTTAAAAACAGCTTTACTGCTGTGAGAATGGTTTTGGAGGCCTTGCTAGCTGGAAGAAGAAGAAATTATCTCAATTTGGTGGTTCAGCAAGTCCTCTGAAAAGATTTTAATGGTTAACTGGAAACTACCGCTTGGAAACACTAGGTACATGCTGCTACTGATGAGAATGTGCTCAACTCTATTGATGATTCAGTCTTTAACAGTGTTTGCTGAAGTGTGCTATGTGGTCACAGCCTGACCTTCATGGAAATTCTTGAAGTGTCGGAGGAATTTGTGTCGAATGCCATTGACCAGTCTGTTGGGGAACACAGTGCTTTTTAAGGTATTGCCTGTAGTATGATTGTGTGATTACTCTTCTCAAAGATACTTGAGCCTTGGAGAGGGAGATTGCTTTCCTGATCCTCCTGGTGCACTGGGTACTTCAGCTGTTCAAGCTGCCTACTTACCACATTGCTGTGTGTGTACTTGCTGGTAAGGAACATTGGTATCTTCCATGTGAATATATCTGAGGGTCAGCTGTGGTCTAAACTCTTGACAGAAACAGCTTAAACTTTAGGGCTAAACTTTCTGTTGTTTGTAGTGTGGCTGATTGCTGGCTGAGAGTGGGAGAAGAGTCACCTGTCACCCAGGTAGATGGAGAAGGAGCTAAACTACTATTTAGTTTTTGCTCTAATTTAAAAACCTCTGCTATTAATAGTAAGGGAAGCATGAGATTATACAGCCTCTGTTTAGGTCTGAATGGGGAGACTGTGATGCACCCATCAGTCCACAGGTAAAGCCATTCCCTGGGCTTCTGGTTGCACAATGCAATGTATGCAGATCTGTGGCAGCCTTCCATGCATTGCACCTTCTCCCCACCTTCCTAGGTGGAAGGAGGGCATGTCCAATAGGTAATATGCTCATGTAGCAAGTGTTTTAAATAATCTCCAGGACGGATTGTCAGGGCAGGCCAGAGGTAGGAAGGAAGAGAAAGGAGCAAGGGCAGGAAGACGATTTCAGTTTTAGGATATATTACACTTAAAATTCTGAGGCTGCTCCACTGACAGGCCAATAAAGAATTAGATGTACAATTTGAAGTAAGTCCTGCAGTAGAATAATTGGACTGATGAAGCAATCTCGCTCTCACTAAATTGCTTTCCAGGGAGCCTGTACTGAATGGAGCTGTGCATCTCTTTCTGATATTTGAACATCCTCAGGTCTCATTGACTTCAGTGGGAATTAACCTAATTGAACTCCTCAGTAGACAAATTCCTTAGGTTCTAATTTTTTCTGATGACTTTAAATTTAGTTTGCCATCATACGCTGTGCTCCTCAAGTCCAAGCCTTAGCACGCATATGTTATTTAATGGCTCTTGAATGAAATGTGCTTAAGTATTTGTGCATATATTCTGTTCCTTACTGCTTTCTGTGGATGAGATCCTCTGATAGTTCTGTTACACTGCGTCATGTTAGCAAATAGAACATGGAAAATGCTTACTGGAAAATCTTTCAAAAAATAATCCAGTCAGAAGCTTGTATGAGAGTTTTATGTTTTGTTTCTTTTTAAGTGGGAAGTGTTTATTTTGCCTTTACAAAAGGATGAATGCACTTCAAATTAAGCGGACAAATTCATTAGCATGGAGGGTAAATTTGGTAATAAATGAGGTGGTAAAAGTGAGATTTTTCTACCTTTCCTTTCCATGACCTACTGAAATGTAGTATATTTACAGTCCTCTAATTACTGAAGCTCTAAATGTTTTTGCCTCCATTGTGCTACTCCACATTTTGTTGACCTCCATTTGTGCTCCATTGTTAGCTTCTGTTTGTGTTACTGCACATTTTGGGATAATGGATTGTGGAGCACTGTGTGTTAAGAAGAAAATCAATAGTGTGATGCAAAAGATGAAATAACTCTGATGGAACATCAATAAAGCCTAAAAGTTTCCATAGGGATTTTAATGTTAAGGAAGAGCTTGAGAAACTATATTAAGAAAAATTTGCTTTTCCCCTTGCACTTGTAGTGTCTTTATTCCATAAGCAGAAGTTGCCTGGGGGTCCTTGTAAAGTACAGGGGTGGAGGAATTTTTTCTTTTCATATGTATATGTTGCCCAGCAAAATGCCTCCTGGGTGCAGTGTCTTCTGAGAATTGTCACAGTGTCATTGCTGTCAGGCCCTAGCTGGCTTGAATAAAAATGGAAGAGCAGAGCTCTTAATAACCTTGTGTGCTGTTAAAGGGTTCAACACATGCAAACTGTAGGAGAAGTAGGAGAATTTTTATCATGCCAAAATTATTTCTTATTTAAGAGAGTGTATGTGTTGCAGGTCCATACACTAGTGTGTGTAACCAGCAGCATTGCCAAACAAGTCTTCCAATTTGACTTCACCACTGGCAAATTGTGCAAGAGCAATTATAAGGCCCAGATTTTGCTCCAGCGTTAGTGCTGCTCAGCACTGCATTCAGTGGTTTGTTAGCATGCAGTTTGCAATATTTGGTCTGCAGTAGAGAGGATTGTTTGCTGCATATATACTTTTCAGGGTATGAAAGGGCGTCTCTGTTATGCAAAATAGCTACCACCTCTATCCAAGCAGAAATGAAATTGTTGGTTAGTGGGGTTTTTTGTTTGTTTGTTTTGTCTTGTTTTTTCTTGAGTATGGACTAAATGAAGTTAGTCTGAAGTAATTCTGAGCTATAAAACAAGAAAATTGAGAAATCCTTGCATCATTTGCTAGGCAGACAGAAACCCTGGTGGGTAATGGTACAGGGTTACATTTGATGACTTCTGTTTTTAAATGATGTATTGCAGATACGCAGCAGAATTGTGTTTTTGTTGTTAGCTTTCATTAGGATCTTTATGCAGGAGGCACACCTGGAGCTCCACGTTAGATTTTATGGGAAAAGGTGCTATTGAATGTACCAAAGGTATCACAGTATGCCTCTTAACATTTCTGTTGTAATTCTGAGTGTTCCTGTCCTTATTGTTAACTTCTTGTTTCCCAAACGTTTGTCAGAACTACTTTTGCAACTTATTTCTCAATTTATGCTTTCAGCAATATGCAAACCCTCGAATTCCGATTGCACATTGCAGTATGAAAGGGTATTAATTGTTTTAATGTGCATACTTCATACTGATGTCACACTCTGGACTTCATTAGAATTCTGACTCCATCATTCTCATAGTTTAAAAAACAAAGACTAAATAAACCGCATAGCTTCATCACAAAGACAAACCATAATCAGAGAGGCAGATTAAGTTAGAGCCATAAACACTTTTCTGAATTCAATATACATTTTGAAACAATGATAATTTAGGTATCTTCCACTAAATATGGGAAAGCTCAGCTGTTAGTGTTGAAAACCTTAGCTGTTTCTATCTAAGCAAAATATATGGGACTTGCCTACTAAAATATGTAAAAATAAAACTATTTAGGTAAGGTTGGCATCATCATTTTTCTTTTGCAGATCAGGTGGAAGTTTCTGACACTAACTTTTAGAGCTGAAATAAATCAATGTAGAAACCAAGGTTAGGTGATACAGATATTTGCTTATTTCAAAGTTAAACAGTCACAAAAGGAAGAAAAGGAACCCACTGTTCTGAAATACACTGGTGTTATTAGCAATATATTAAAATGCAGTACATTTTTTAAATACTATTTCTGTCAAAATACTTACTGATGTTGAATCCTGTTTTCCAAGGAATAAATATTTAATTCAGCAATGCATTTAAGCTAACGACTAATTTCAAGGGTGGGAGTGCCAAACTACACACATGCTTAAAGTTAAGGACAAAATTAATTGAACAAGGTTAAAAGCCCTGCTGGGATGAGATAGAGTGTTCAGCTATAGGGACCTGACTCTGCTAGTCTTAGTCATCTTTTTTTTTTTCTGCAGTGAGACACCTATGAGATTTCATCCCACTCAATACAAGAGTGGTGTATGCTACTTACGTCTTCAGTCTAAGAGATGAAGTCTTAAGCTTCAGGCCTTTTCCCTTAATATTGCATCACACTGACTTTGGGAGCTTAAGTTTCACAGGGAGCATGTCCTCCAAGGACAGCTGATTTGCAGATGTGGTGGGAGAAGGGCCATCAAGGGTGAATACTCAGGCTTAGCCTAGTTAGCACAAGGAGAGAAAGCATGCCTTTAGCCAGGTGCAGTTGATGTTCTTCCTGTGTTCAAAACTATGATCTAAATCAGGAAGACTAGGGACCTTAACCCAAGATTTTCCATGCCACAGGTGAATACCTCGAGCAGCAGGCTTCTGAGGGTTTTAGATATTGTTCTGATCCTGAGGTTCTTAGGGTATAGTCTCCCTCTAAACGTGCAGGTCTGAGCTTTTCTGTTTCTTGAGGCAGGCAGTGGAAAGGCAGGCAAGATACCTCAAAAAAACTGCGTAAGTCACAAAATACAGTTCTTGCCCAAATCTGTATTTCTGAGTGTGACATCAAGCCTTTTTGTCTCTACTTTCAGGTTGCTCCTATAATTAAAGAAAGGATGATGAAGAAGGGCAGCATGATGCTTGGGTACCAGCCTCACCAGGGCAAAGTCAACTTCTTCCGTCAAGTGGTGATCAGCCCGCAAGTTAGTCGAGAGGACATGGACTTCCTCCTGGATGAAATTGAACTGCTTGCTAAGGACTTGTAGCTGTAGCTCCACAGCACCAGATGCTGCTCACATGTATTATTTATGGGGAGAGAATGGCAGCAGCATTCTGGTACTATTTTGTGAAAAGTAGTGAAAAAATTGACGTATATTTTGGAAACTATAATTTTACACAGTGATGTTGAGAGCTTCGCAGGTAGAACACCCCCTCCCAGGAAAGTATTTACTGATGGGGGCTTAAAGTGGCTGGAACAGGCTGGTCCTTGCAGCACCCCTGCTGCCATTCTGGGAAGTGTTTCCTCAGGAAGGGAGCACTTCTGAAAATTGCATCTATGTCCCAGAGAGGGGAGCTATTTATGGGGTGCCTATTCACAGTCTAGCTCAAACTGATCACTCATGTACACGAGCAGTCCTCCTCTGAAGTAACGGTTAGGAGTGGATTTAGCTCAGGTCTGGTTGGTAATCACACTGATAAGGCTTGAAATTGTGGACTTATAGGAGGAGTACAAGGGCTCTAACTAGATGGCTTGCTGAGATTTTCTGTTGTGAGCACAGGCAGACAGTAGAATAGGACTTGGTGGGGTTGTGCAGTCGCCATCACAGGATGTCGGCAGGGTCCCCCTGCACGAAGCCCTAGGCAACCAATGTTGACCCTGCTTTGAAGAGGCTGAACTAGATGACCTATTAAGGTCCCTTCCAACCTACAGGATTTTGTGATTCTATGAAATGCAGTCATTAGGCCCAGTCAGTGTTTGCAGTGTTTCCCAACCAAAATATCACCCCCACTTTAGCAGAGCTGTGAACACTGGAATAGCACTTAGAAATTCTTGATCTTTTTGTTAACAAGAGTTACCTATCATTTCTGAACTGCTATTCACTTTCCTCTATTTTAAAGTGTAAAGATTTATATTGCAGCTTTTAGATACACTTTAAAATTATAACAGAGAAAATAATATTTACCTGAAAGATACATTTTTTATGCATGTTGACTATATATTAAGAACATAGCAGAATTACTTCCTTCTCATTGTCTGTTTGCATTTTCCTACAGATTTGGGATGACTTGATCTTATGTTATCAGTGTATGATTTATACTTTGACAATGAAATTAACATGTTGATGATCAGAGAAGGCCTGTAATTTTATAGTATGAATAGCTTGAACATGGTTTGGTTAATCCTAAATTGCAAAATTAAGTTCTAAACTTCATGTTAAGAATTACAGCATACTTTGGATCTGGTTTTATTCTATAAAAAGTTCCATTTTATAAAGATAGAAATTTATTTCTTGGGGTGAAGTTCTTGCAGCAAAATAATGGAAATAATCATGTCTCGCACCTTGCAATCAACACCTATTTAACTTTAATGATTTGGTATTTGTTTCTTATTCTGTATCTGGGGTAGCACTGACCAATATGAACCTTTCTACTATGATGTCTTCTATTCTGCTGAAAGATGCCTTTAAATGCAATGCTTTCTTGTTTCCATTTCATACGTTCTACTAGGATCCAGCATTGCAAGAAATTCGTACTTCCAATGCCCAGGATGTTGGTGTGGAAAATTTTACAATGTCATAATAACCAGAAAGGTCATGCTGTCAGAGCAGTAGATACGAGCAAGAGTCACTCTGCAGCACTTGACAGATGCCTTTAACAGTGTCCTGGAAATTAATATTCTTGTGCTATTATAGTGATCTGCTGGACTTTAAGCCAAAACCCATATTGATACTCGTATCAAAATTAGTACCACAATGTGGCCCCAGCCTTTTCCTTGTAATACCCACAAGATCACTGTATCATTTATTGCCTTATGCATCTGGCTACACCAGCTATCATGATTGGAACTAAATTAAGGGCTGTTGGGCTTATTTAGCCTCCCAGCTGGGCCAGATGGAGTGCAGAGAACACAAGGCGGGCCCTTCCTCCTTTTCCTTTTTGACCTTGAAGTGCAGGACAGAATACAGTGGCAGGATGTTTTGCTTATGGTCCAGATTCTTAGTGAGTACTGGATGTTTTGCCGATTCATGAGGAGGTATGTCATTTCCCATCAGCTAAGAATTTGGTCTGTGGTGTTTTGTGACACCACTGCTATAAAAAAAAAGAGTGTTACTGCCTTGTTTCTCTTTATGTTAGTACATTTCTTTATTTCCAGATGTTGTGACACTTACAGTGCATGTCGGGCTGAAGTAACACAGTTCCTTGCTGTAGCAGTAGTGGCTATAATGTATATAAATGAGAGCAAAATGGAACTTCTTTAATGTTTGCAGAAAATGGGTCTCTGATCAACATATGCACTGATTTCTTCAAAAGTGTAGGTTAACCTTCCAGTGTGATGAGTTCCTTATCTAATCTCCATATATTTTCTATTATATCTGACCCTTTATGACATCCCAGGTGTGCTATATGATGGTCTCATTTCAGGACTAATGTAATTTTATCATAGTTGCCTATTTAGGACCAGTGTGTACAAAATGTCTATTTTGTAGCTGGTGATTTTAATAAAAAGTAAAGTAAATGACACCTTATAAATACAGGCTATGTTTGTCATTTGTCAATCAAAACCTGCAGAGATATGTATAAAGAAGGCACTAGAGACAGAGAAACAACAGACTGCCAGCACAGTTATAAAATATGAAACCTATTTAACCCTGCTTCAGAATGTGGTTTACTGGTATGCTGTGCCCATATCATCTTTAATAAATATCTTGGATGAAGATATGTCACAATTTATCTTGCTTTCAAGTGGAGAAACTAAATTGTCTTTGCAGAAGTGGACATTTTTTTTTATTTTTTTTTTTTGCTTTTCTAGTTAGGTAGGATTGGCCCATGAGATCCTTCTAGTTACTGACAAACACCATCTCTCAGGATGCTAAACCAAGTTTAGGAAGTAGTGAGATGCAGGTATAAATCAGTGTAAGCTGATCAATTTGCTGTTTGTTATTTCTGGTGTCTACTTCTAATCTTTTTCAATAGGAAATGAAGGGAAATATTTAGACAAAAAGGATGTTGAGGCAGTTTTTGCTCTTAGTTGTGTGGATGCATCTTTTAAGAACTTCAGGTATTCTGTGCTGAGTCCATATGCAAAATTATTCACACAAATTATTGTGCCTGGATCAGGTCATCTTTGTCTCAGGACTTCTAATAGTATTTTGTGTGATAGATTAATACTAATCAATAGAGTTTTGTTATGTATGATTTTAGTGCTTTTAACTCACGTTGATTTTAGTGCTTTTAACTCACATTGATTTAACTGGATTGGGGCCTGGGTTTTGTCACTGGGGTCTTTCATTTTAGCACCAGCAGTTTGGCACTCAAAGCATCTCAGTTTATCTGCTGAAGGTTTGTGCCTAGAAATTCAGATTTGTCTTTATTTCTGTGAAACTGGATTGAAATATATTTTCATTTTATCCTTTAATGATGCATTAAGATGCTTTTCTAATATCATTTGACCCTTAAAGGATGAGAAATGTCCTTTAAGAAAAGCCTGGTAGAATTGGTAGGGTTACATTGCAGAATGCCAGGTAAGAGCACATAAAAACCTGTTATGTGCATCAGGCTTCCTCATACACACAGATCACAGCATTAGTTCATGCTCAGGTAATCTTTATTTTTAAATCTTTGGGTAGGATTATTTGGCTTACAAAACTGATCTAAAATGTTGAAGACAGAAGAGAATAATTCATAAATATGAAATGCAAAGTCTGATTTCTTCTATTATGTCACATACGAGCAATATGACAAGCCAAAAGTAAGCTGAAAGTGTCAATTAAATCCCCCATTTTCAACAGTGCTAAATCTGCCCAGCCTCTCTTCCCTGTTGTCTACTTCCATGGGCTTTCCACAGGAGAATGAAGCATGTTCATGCTGGAACTGGCTGTAGGTAAGGCCCACTCACACACCTGCCCTTCTTCCTGTGGCATGATCGGTAAATACTGATAAATCATTTCAGCTTATAAACACTGTGTCTGTTACACTAACTGCTAAATATTGCCACTGTTGTAACGGTGAAATAATGCAATTGCACACATTAATTATGCCTTAATTGCACATGCTAATTGCAGGTTAGATGCAATCAAAGCAGCACTGCCTGGCAAATGCACTGTACAAACCACAAGAAACCCTGGTGGAGGGTTTTTCTTTTTTTAAATTGAATCTAGTATCCCACAATTACATGTTTTTGCTTCAGATGTACAATTAGATGTTATTACTCTAATTTTGTAACTACACAATAATCAACCAAAAATTACTTTTAGAGCAAAACAAAACAAGGAAATTTGCACAGCAAGAGGTACAATAAAGAGAATGTCAAAAGTTTCAAGGAAAACCCACAGATGGAAACAATGGTCATGAGAATAATTAACCTCTGCTAAATCTCATGTGTGTGAATACACCACACAGCTGTGCTGCAGGAGTGGAGTGGTGAAGCAGTACCAGTCATGGAGTCATCAAAGGGCTTGTGTATACCTTGACACTCAAGCAATCTGCCCCAAAATAGTACGATTCATCCACTAATACTAGACAAACCCTTTCAGAAGACAGGAGTCTTTGTAGTACAGTAACAAGTATTGTGCCTATCAGGATAAATTCTGTTTTAAAGCAGTCTCAATAATAAAAGAGATACTGAAAAGGTAATCTCAAAAGAGTCCAACAGAGATGACCACTTGAAGTCTTAGCAGCACATGTGCAACTAATCACATTTTTAACATTAATTTACAAAAAAACCCCACTAAAATCTTTATTTTAGAAGGATAAAGGCAAATAAAAGAAAGCAAAGACATGGACCCTTAATAATTTTGTCAAACTGTCAAAATTTGTTCTGTTTTGATGAAGTAATTTCATTCTTGTAAGTAATTCAGAAAATGTTAATTTCTACAGAACTATTTAAAAAAGGAGTGTATGATGAAAGCAACTGCCATAAAATTGCAGAGGCCTGTGGAAATTACATTTGCATTTGGAACTGTGCAGTCTATATTGTCCTCTGCACCACACTGTTTCCCAAGAAACTTTCGCCCAGCTTGTCTTTCTGGGAAGCGACTTCTTAAATCTGGCAAGCATTGGCACTGGCGTCCTGCTTCTTTCATGCCAAAGTGATAAAGATTTTTACTCTTGCTCCATTTCTGTGCCCTCTCCCATTCCAGGACATTTTTCCAGAGGGAGTTATTCAGTATTTGGCGCTATAGGAAAATGTCAGAGTAGCAGAAAGGGGAAGATTGAAAGCTGAAACAAAAGCAGCACACAGTTTTGCACCTTGAAGTGGCATTTTGCTCTCTCTCTCTCAGCAATGGATTTGTCTAGATGCTTAGCTGTTGATCACTCACTGTTCCTATCAGAACCGTGGCAACACCAAGATCGTGACTTTATTGTGCTTTGGACAGTGTGTTTGGCCTTGGGAAACTAAATAAGACAAAGGGTGGGAGACAGAAATATAAGTTGTCCTGTTTTATAAAAAAATTATGCACAAACAGCTTAAAACTTCTGTTTTGTTGTGAAAACTTGCACTCTGGTTTATAAAAAAAAATGTTGAAAGAGTCACTACTAGGAGACAGCAGTGAATGAAAAAGAGACATACTGTATGTACTACAGGCTTAGCAGAGCGAGATGGTGCTAACCAGAGACCTTTCTGGAAAAAAATATTTTCTAGACTGGACTGTTGCAGTATTTGATGTGGTGATGTTTGGGGAAACCTACATAAGATGGGAAGCAGGACAGAAAAGTACAAGGCAAGTAGGACTAGGTAGTGAAAAATGAAAACAAGTGCTGGTGAACAGAAGATACCAGTCAAATGCTGGTATTGATTCTGGGCTACTCTAGCTTCATACTGTCAACGCTAACCATTTCAGAAAGATCAGACATATGTTTATGAAATTTGCTGAGGAAGCTATGTTGGGAGTTTTAGATACTCAGTCAAAACAAGTGCAAAATCTCTGTGGACTTGCAAAACACAGCAAAAACTTTTGGGTTAGAGGTGGGATGTACTAATCACTTGGGAAACAGAAAATTGTGGGGATGCGTATAACAATGGCATAATAGCAGTGTATGAGCTAAACCTAAATGCCATATAAATAAAGTCAGCCAGCCAAAAAAATTGATGGTAAACATTAAAGCAGATCTAGCCTGTTATTTGGATCATAGCACCATGAAAACCCTAGCTTGGCAGCAAACTCGGTGGCTGGTCCAGGCCTCTGTCCCCCAGTTCTTTTGCCTCAAGCTGTGAGCATCAGTGAGAATATTAGTGTTACAGAGCCAAAGGGTAGCACTGCCTTGTCGTGTGCTCCATCTACTGGTGTGTCCTCTGGTAACTAACCTGTGCCAAACACAGGATGTCTCTCCTGGACGTCTCAAATGTGGCAGAGGGAATTTGAACTAAAATATCTTGGGATTTTATTTTTTTTTAAAAAAGCTTTGTCAGAAAAAGGTGCTTCGTTTTAACAGTCTTCTTGTGAAAACATTGGGTTTCAACGGACTTTAGGGA